ATTCTTTCACACACTTGACCAATTTCCTATTGAGTAGATGCCAGTGTTGTAGCTGTACCACAACAGGATGGCTACAGCACCCCAAGTTCTGGATTGGACATTTTAAGAACTTTAGCCAGGATGCTTAACCTTTGCTATGTCCTACATGCTACGGTCTTTCTTGATATCTTGTGAAGCTTAGTGAACAGGCTGGGAACCACAGGAAGAGGCTAAGTTAATGAATCTATTCGGTGCTTCTGACTGAAGATGGTTGCAAATGCTTTAGCTTTGTTTTTTGTACTGACATGAGGATGGGAATATTCATGGTGCTATTTCCTCATGCTATTTGTAGATTACTGACCATCATTCATGACTTCATATGACAGGACTGCAAATTTTTGATCCAATAGTTTGTTGTGGGACTGTTAATTTCTGTCTATAGCATGCTACCTCCACTCTTTAGCACACATATAAATCTGTACTTGAACTTCACCAGCTTAACACTTCGCTTTTAGATAAACTTGGTGCTTCGCATTCAATCAGGGTTGGTCCCTTGTTTTTATGGTAATGATACCTGAGTGAGGAATGTGCCAATCTATGTTGTTACAGACTGTGATAGCTACAACACCTCGTAGGTACCCAGCTTTGAGCCACTAATTCTCTTTTGAATTCATCTAATTTTGCAAGGGAATAGTGCCATACACAGGTTGTGGGGTGTCCTCAGATTGAAGACAGGACTGCTGGCAAAGGACTGTATTCTTAATATGCTGTCATGGACAGACTGTCTGCAGTAGACAATATATAGGAGGAACTTGTAGAGAACATCATAGAAGATGTTTGTTTAGAGTCATGATAACTTTAAGGCAGCATTGTGGATGGAATTGTTATTTGGTAGAATTGCAGAGATTGTTTACAATGTGATTGGAGAGAAAATTGAAACTGTGGAAAAAAATTTAATTTGGTAGATTATAACAAAAGTAGAAATTTACCAAAGAATAAGAAGAAGACTGTGGCACAATATCCATAACATGCACAAAAATATTGGACACGAATTATTTGAGGGAGAACAGCATATTAAGATATTTAATCAAAGAATCTGCAAGCTGTGTACTAAATGGGATACTATATCAATTTTAAATCAGTGTTTTGAATCAGTCAAAAATGTAACTTTATTTTAATTTTTATTTTTGAGTCTTCTGATGTGAAAGCAAAACTTACCGACAATTTTATTTTTATTAGAAAAGTTGCACGACAACAGATTCTGCCACCACTATTCACATCTGAATGTTCAGCAAGGAGACCAGTTATTCACTATCTAGGTTGGTGTTACCTCATATTTGATGTTAAGCTAAAACTTAATTTGCAAATCTGATTGTAAATGTTACAAATTTAGTCACAGTTGGAAGGGGAGGAAAGGCACTGGCCCTGTGACATGTTCTCTTGTCCTACAGTGACCTGATTCTGTAGTTCTTAAATGTGGAAATTACTTTGAGACAGAGACTGGTCTTTTTGGATTTGTTAGGCGTGTTTTCTTCTCAAGAAGTGGGGTCCACAAATCCATAGGTTTGCCAGAAACTTTCTGAGATCAGTGGCACCATACAATTTTAATGAGATTATTGACCCATAATTGATAAATGTCATTTGATTTACTGGATACTGATTATAATTTCGAGTGACCACATGCTTAAATTTAATCGCGACTTATTACTTTCAGGAGCAATTGCAAACATGCTGGTGAATCTTGGCTTTGCTGAATACCATGGTTAATAGTTCCGCACAAAACAGTAATTTTGAGCGAGTGCAAATGGTGGCCACCAAGGGAAGATGTCCACATAGTTATGACTGAGAAACCTGCCTAGTCTCTGGTTTCAAACATTAATGTTCAATCCAACCATAACGTTAAAGCAATAAGATATGAGAAGGAAAGCTGAGCCATAACACAAAGATATCATTCCCTGTGCTATACCTCACAGGGGTATCACACAGGAAATCAAACCTTGCTATTCCCAGAGTCGTCTAGAAATTAAAGATTTTGAAAAATACACAGAATTCCTCAATTTACGTGTCTTTTAGACCCAGGTTGACAGAAAGCACAGATCAGCTTTCTATACTTAACAAAAATTACTATTTCTTACAAACAAATAAACTTTAGCTACAGGTAAACATTATAAATGTTGGCATTCAAGTTTACTTGTTAAAACTCTAACCCCCTTATAAACTCCCCCTCTACATACATTGAGTCAGATGCAGAAAAGAAAATAAAACAAAGGTGTGATAGGCGTAGGGGTACAGAAGGTAGTTCTGTGATCCTGTTAGCAGTGTCTGCTGAGATGATCCTTGTGACTTGTCAGGATGTACTGCTCCATGTTCCTGCTTTTCCAGACACCTTCACTTGCTTGTAGAAGGCACAGCGTCACTGGCTCACACTTATAAAGTCTCTGGATTACTGCCTAAGGCCACAGGTTACAGCAACTGCTGGGAGGAATTAAAGAACTGGATTTTTTTCAGGCTGAAGGCAACTTTTACTGTACAGCATAAACAGAGCCTGCTCTTCCAGAAGTCTGATGGTTTCTGCCAAAACACTCACAACCCAAGATGTTCAGCTATTTGGAAGCCAATTGCATAGTTATTTGTAGGGAAAAGTATTTGTCTTCAATAACTGGTCATTCGACCACAGTCCAATCAGCTACTTGTTGCCAGTCAATGCTCCATTCGTACACAACCCTTTGATCAAGCTCATTGGAAATCCAGGCTTCCATTACTGCTTGAACGAGCAGATGTGTACTTATAACGAGTGTCAGCTTATTTGCTTTTTAAAAAGTGCAGTCATCCTTCAACAACCCTAGTCTTTTAAAAACAGTTCCTTTCCGATTTCAGTCAGTAATGAGAAGTACAGAAAAATAAAAATATACGGTCTTCACACTTGCCATATTGATACATCAAGGGACTCTAAGAGAAGAAATGGGAATCATTAAAAGATACACAACAATTGAATTCATGTTGAGCATCAGATAATAAATATTCTGAATGATTAATGTGAGGAAATTATGAACAACATAACTTCAGCAAAAAAAACTTCAACTTTGACATAAATGTTTCTGAAGTCCTAGATAGGCTGTAAGGCATTAAAGCAGATAATTGCCCAATATTAAACAGTATTAATCTAGAGTGTTCAGAAAGATAAGCATGCACATTTAAATTGCATTGACATTCATTAGGGAGTCTATAGTACACTGGGAAAATTATCAATTGATTGGTGGTAGGTTAAGAAACTATATTTTCAAAAAGTGGCAAAATAAGCACAGATAATTAAGGATACATTAACCTTAGACCACTCTGATGTACAATAATGGATTGATTATCAGGAGCAAATCTTTTGATTTCAGCTGCATACATTATTGTATCTTCTTAGTTACCTGAGAAAGTAATGGAAAGCGTGCTTCTGGTCAGAGAGGTAATGTTAAAAATAGGAGGGAAATCATTGTGCAGGATCCCCATTGGATAATACTATATTAATGCTGTATTAAAGAGTTAATACAGATTGGTCCAATTTGTGGTGAAACCAAACTGGGAAGGGGTATGGAATCAAAGAAACAGTTCAAAATCTGCAGACTTAGTTAAATGAGGGAATCAAACTAGGTATCCCATATACCTTCTCAACCACTTTATCTTCCTGTCCCACTACCTTAAGGGACCAGCAGTCATGCAAACCAAGGTCCCTCTGATACTTGAGACTTCCCAGGGTCCTACCATTCATTATGTATTCCCTCACCATGTTATTCCTGCCCAAGTGCATCACCTCATACTTAGCTGGATTGAATCTCATATTAATTAAATGGTAAGAAGTTGGAAAATGTACATATAAAAGGACCCTAAGTGTCCTTGCTGATAAGTCCCTGAAGATTAACATGTGGGTGCAGTAAGATATTAGGAAGGCTAATGGACTGTTAGTCCTTCTTGCGAGCGGATTTGAGTACAGTAGTGGAGTCTGGTTTCAATTGTATATGACCTTGCTTAAACCATACTTGGATTATGTGTGCTGTTTTTGGTCTTGTTATCTCAGAAATTATATCAGAGTCATGGAGTGCACAAAAGTTCACTAAATTTGCTCCCAGAATGATGGGACGATTCTGTGAATAAAGTTTGGGCAAAGTGGCCCTGTATTGTTTAAAGTTTCAAAGAATGAGGTGATCTCCTTGAACCTTACAAAATACTTTTAAAAACAGGGTAGGCACATATAGGAAGTAGAACCAAGAGGCAGAATTTAGAAAGAAAGGAAAATGTCACTTCGGTCCAAGTGAGGAGAATTTCTTTTTACTCAGAGGATTATGAAACTTCAGAATTCTCTACCACAAAGCTATGGTATCACAGAATCCCTACAGTGCAGAAACAAGCTATTTGGCCCATCAAGTCTGTACCTACCCTCTGAAGAGCATCCCACCTAGATCCTGCCCATTACCCTATCCCTTAACCATCACGACTAATTCACTTAACATGCACTTCTCTGGACACTTAAGCATGGCCAACCCACCTAACCTGCACATCTTTAGACCGTGGGAGGAAACCCACGGAGTCACAGGGAGAATGTGCAAACTCAACACAGTTTCCCAAGGCTGGAATCAAACCCAGAACCCTGGCACTGTGCCACTATGCTGCAATCATTGCAGGATTGATAGATTTCTGATCACACTGCTTTACACAGTCATGGGGATGGGTTGAATAAAAGTCATTGAAGTGTTGGATGTGTCATGATCGTATTAAACGGTAGGGCAGGCTCGACGGGCTGAATGGACCACTGTTCTATTGACTCCTACAGGTGGGATTCCGGTTAGCTCACCAGCCAGTATGAAAGATGGAGATTTGTACGAAGGCACATTTCCTCTGGGATGAACCTAGTTCCGGGATTGTAGATTAGAAATGTCATAACACAACAACTGACGACAGGAGGTTTGAAAAAAAACTTAGTGCGCCTGCGCAGCCCCCGCCTGCTGGTTAATTTCTCAAGGTTCAACCGTCTTGAGCTACGTGACTCTCGCTCTATTGCTCGGCGAGTGATTGCGCACGCCTGTATCACGAGGGAAGATGGCGGACAAAACCGAGGATTTGAGTAGCGCCGCTGCTGAGGCAGACCGCAAAACTGGATCGCCCTCGTCACATGTCGCAAGCAGTCGGGGCTTGGAGGATGGCGGCTGGTCGACCCCCATCCTGTCACTCGCCAGGAAAGCGTCAGAGACCCTCTCGGCGAACTACGGGAGCGCTTTGAAATCAGCAGCGGTGGGATTTGCAGTCAAAGCGAGCAGCGGCGACAACACGATCAGCAAAAGTAGGTTTGGAATGGGGCGGGGCGGGGGGGCACGAGCGCGGACCCGGAGGGCGGGGCCAATTAGGCGCGAGCGTCGGGGAACGGGCAGAGATAGTAGGAACTGTAGATGCTGGAGAATCCGAGACAACAAGGTGTGGGGCTGGATGAACACAGCAGGCCAAGCAGCATCATAGGAGCAGAAAGGCTGATGTTTCGGGCCTAGACCCTTCATCAGAAAACGGAACGGGCAGAGTTGGGTTGGGGGAGCGGGGCGCGAGGCTCGGGGACGCGCGATGCCATTGGCGAGGTGTGGGACCAAGGAGCGCGCGGGCGCAAGAGGTGTGGGGTGAGGGGGAGGCTTAGGGTCGGTGGCGAGCGCTGATCCCGGCCGGATCCCCTCATTGCAAAGAGTTGGGTTTTTGCTGATCTCTTTGAAATACAGCTACTGAAGAGCTTGGAGACTTCACCAGCCCGCTTTTGCGATTTTTTTACAGTCAGATTAACATAATGTTTACCTTCTCGACCTGTCTGCGAGGTGATCGGTTGACATATAATTTTACTACGGTGTCTGTCTACTGTTGGCCAACTGTTGTGCACGTTGGAGACATCTGCCTGCAGCAGCTTCAACTTTCTTTAAAAAAGGCTGTTCAGATATGTTGTCACATACCTCTTGTGGCAATTGGGATTTAAACTTGGACCTTTTGGCATCTCAGTTGGTTGTTGGTGCAGTGGATTCAATTCCATCAACAACTTTCCATCTCAACTTTTCCCCTCTTTTGAGGTATGGTGACCCTTGGGGTAAACCACCACCAGTTGTCTCTAATGAGAGAGCAGTCTTATAATCTGCTAGTACTATATCAACTTTACCTTTGAATCTGGTCTGGAACTTGAGACTATGACTATGCTGCATGAACCCTGCATCTCAACTTATGGCTTCCTCCTCCTGTTTCTCACCAAGGTACCCAACTGTGACATTATCCAAAAGCAGCCATTTTTGATGTGTCTGCTGATGGCATCCATCTCTACCTTGTCATTACCTCTTTTCACTTGTCCCACTGATGCTAAAAGGTTTGCCTATTTGTTGGACATAGAATATTGAATAAGTAGTTTTCTCTGGTTAAGCATTATGCAAAGAAGCAATGGCCTTTGGTTTCCAGTTGCAAACTGTGTTCCCTATTTAAGGACTTTGCCTGGCTGGTCATGTTTCAGACTAAACCTGACGTTGATGTCATATTTTGCCCATACTTTGAGACAGCCTGTTTCTATTTCTGCAACATAACCCAACCCTGTCCTGCTTCAGCTAATTAGCCAAATTCTTTATACATACCTTTTTTGTTATTGTGACTTGATATTCCAGTTCATTTCTGACTGACAGTTCGTAGTCTACTCTTGCGATCATGACAGCACTCAAACCTCTGTTCATGATCAGGTGTATTCACCAAGTGACTTACATTGACTCCTGGTGTAAATGATACCTTGATTTTAAAATTCTCATCCTTTTTCAATTCCTCCATGGGCACACCTTTCCAATCTCTAATCCTGCAGCCCACAACCTTTCAGATATCTGACTCTAATGCTTGCCTTTGAGAATCCCCTGATTTTAATCGTTCCCTAATAGGTAGCTGTGCCTTCAGATCCTGAGGCCCCAAACCCTGGCGTTCCCATTGTAAACATCTTCATCTTTATATCTCCTTCCTCCTTTAAGAAATGCATTCATATTTGTCTCTATGACCAAGCCTCTGTCTATCTGCCCTGAAATTAGCCTATTTGTTGATGACATAGTTTGCTCTATAATGCTTTTGAAGTGGATTGAAATGTATTGTTACATTAGAAATGCATTGTTCATAATGTTGTAGCTGTTGGAGACCATCCTGTTTAGTGGAGGAAGTAGAAAAGCAAACAAGAAGAAAAGACTAGCAGCTAACATAAAGGGAAATCCCAAAGTCTTCTAAAGACCTATAAATAGTAAGAGAGTGGCTAATGGAGTAGTGGGACTCATCTGACACCAAAAAGGTGATTTGCAATTGGAGGCATGGGGCATGGCTGTGATACTAAATACATACTTTGCATCCCTCTTTACAAAAGAGGTTACCCAGTATGACGGTACTGTGCTTTTAAGAGGTATATTTTGACCTGGCTTTTCTTTGTATGAAGAAAGGTTAAGACAGTGGTGATGAGCTGTCTATTTAAATCCAATAAAGTAAACAGCTTATGAGACCTGAGGTTTTTAAAAATTGGAACAATGGAAGCAGCTTCAATGTTATCAACCAGTGGAAGCATCCAGAGGAAAAAAAAATGACCGAAGCAATATGCTGGCCAGTAAAATAATCTTAAGGATCATCTCAACAAAAGATCCTGGTGCCAAAGGTCAAAGGAAAACTGAAATATTACGGCCAGTGTCGGCTGTATTTTTACCTTCACTTACTTCAAGAATTCTTGGTTGCGTCTCATCTGGCCATGGTGTCTTGTTAAGCTTAAGTGCCAACCATCTATCCAAGACTTGTTCCTTATTAATTTTGATTCCCACTAGTGACAGAAAAAAAATCTATCACCATGGCCTGGTGTTACAGACCAGACCAAACCCCCTCAAAACATATTAAGAAGATAGCCTAAAATTTTCAAGGTCCCACAGAACTGGATTTTGAGATTTAGTTTTTCAGTAACAGTTGCTGGGATTGGAAGCTGCAGTCTATCTCTCCCTGCTACTGAGTTTTCGTTTGATGTTTTTCCTCCTGGACTAGAGAGTTACATGTGAGGCAATTTATTTTACTGAATTTACCTTTGCCAAGGGTGTGTTTTATGAGATGTTGCTTTTGGAACAATTACTATTTAGGAATTGAATAATCTATCATCCTGTTAAGTCTTCCAATAGAGTCGTTATTTCTTTTTTTTCTGTTTTAACTATAGTGTATGAATAAAGTGTGTATTTCTTCAAATCTGGTAGTTTGACCAATCAAATTGCATCCGGAATGCAATGCCTGTCACTTGCCTTTAAAATAAGAAAATTTTAGGTTCTAGGCTATCTTCTTAATATGTTTTGAGGGGGTTTGGTCTGGTCTGTAACACCAGGCCATGGTGATAGGAAAAAAATCTGTCACTAGTGGGGATCAAAATTAATAAGGAACAAGTCTTGGATAGGTGGTTGGCACTTAAGCTTAACAAGGCACCATGGCCAGATGAGACGCATCCAAGAATTCTTGAAGTAAGTGAAGGTAAAAAATACAGCCAACACTGGCTGTAATATTTCAGTTTTCCTTTGACCTTTGGTACCAGGATCTTTTGTTGAGATGATCCTTAAGATTATTTTACTGGCCAGCATGTTGCTTCGGTCATCTTTTTTTTTCTGGATGCTTCCACTGGTTGATAACAGATGTAAGGTAGTTGGTTCACTTAGTAAAAGTCTCTTGACTATCGTTAAAGCTCACAGTTTATAGCAACTGTTGCAGGAAAGATAAACATTTTGTTCAGTTCATTAAACTACAACAAATAGCTGGTGGTGCTGGAGAAACTACGTAGCTCTGCAAGCCTCTGCAGAGAGAAGAGTAGTTGAAATTACCACCATTTCCCAACACATTTAGTTCAGACGAAGGGTTGCTGGATCTGTAACATTAATAGTAATGTTACAAGACCAGTGATCCTTCGTCAGAACTGAAAGCATCTGGGAAATGGTGGTAAAGTCAACTACTCTTTTCTCTCCACACTTGCTTCCAGACCTGCTGAGTTTATTCAGCATTCTGTTTTTGTTTCTTCAGTTTACTGTGAGTTTTGACTGCACAGAACAGACAAATTGCCCTGGAACTGGTGAAGAATTGAACACTTCCCCTTCTGTGTAACTTGTTTTCAGTTCAACTGTTCATTTAACTGAGAACCAATAAGTCAGTTGGTGGTAGGCAAAAAGTCTCTGTCATTGATAACTCATTAGTTCAAAAACAAATCGACTCTTAGCTCGCAAAGACAACATCTGTACACCCCCTTGGATCCAAATTGTCTGCAAATCAAACTTCAATTAATGTTTGTCCAAACATTTGCCTACATAATGCATCACATGGGTCTCCGGTTACTTGCTTTTCAAATATACTGATACTCTTTCAAACACTGATTTTTTTTTTTTATAAAAGACAAATTTTCTCATCCAGTCCACATTTTCTTAAAAAAAAACAAAGTTAAAAAACACAATCCTTAGCAACTGCCAATTAGTGACTGAAAACGAAAAGCTTCACCAAAAAGTGGCTTAACCAGCTAGGGAAGATTTAGTGTATTTTTCCAAGTTTGGGGAATGGTAAATTACAAAAGGTTTTGGAGTAGATCTGTAGCTCGGGTTGTGGGTGTTGAGGTTGGTTGGCTCACCGAGCTGGCTTGTTGTTTTGCAGATGTTTCATTACCATGCTTGGTAACATCCTCAGTGCAGCCTCTGATGAAGTGTCAGTGTGTTTTCCTGCCTGGTTTTTAAACTCTGTGGTCCGTTGAGATGGATTGCCTCACTTCTGGTTTTCCTTCGTAGTGGAATGTATAAGGGGTCGAGTTCAATATGTTTATTCATAGCGTGTTTCGTGGAGTGCCAGGCTTCCAGGAATTCTCGTGCTTGTCTCTGCCT